TTATGCTCTATGATTTATTGATGCAAAAAATGGATTTTTTTTATTTAAGACTGAAAACAATAGAACAGTGACAGTTGTAGCAGAAATAATGGTAAGAAAAATACTTTGGAGTTTTAATTCTTGAGTTTTAAAGTAAGCTCTAATGAGTTGGTCACCCCCTGTGATGTGATGTTTTGATTTTTTTTTCTCTCATTATCATGTCATTAGTGCTCCAGAGTACCAAAATTTAATGTTCTAAATCATTGTTGTAATAGTAAATACTATTACCAGTTGTAATAAACTTGTAGTTGGTACCAAAAAGATAAGGCTAGAAGAGAAATGATAAAGATCTTTTTTTTTCTTGATCCCTACAATCCTTATAAACACGGGTCAATAAACAATAGGAGGAAAAAAAAAAAAAAAAAGTAAAAAATTGATCAATCTCAATGATGGGAGTCAAAAAAATAAATAAATAAATAAAAAATAAAAAAGGGAAATCTCAACTTTTTTTTCAAGCTAGAATGCTGAAATGGAGTTAATTAATTTAATATACATTGGGTGGAACAATATAAGAATGAATTTCTTGGTTTTTGTACCTCTCTCTATCTTTTGTTGCGAAAAGTCGAAGAATCATTAATTAATAGTAACTACTAGTTGTAATAAACTTGTAATTGGTACTAAAAAAGATAAGGCTTGAAGAGAAATGATAGACATTTTTTTTTTTTTTTTTGACCCTCATAATCATTATAAACACATGTCAATAAATAATAAAAAGAAAAAATAAATAAATAAATAAAAAGTTAGCCAATTCTGATACATTAAAAGTAGTGGGAGGTCTCAAACTTTTTTTGGGGCTTGAATGCTGAAGTTAATTAATCTTAATATACAATGGGTGGAACAATATAAGAATGAATTTCTTGGCTTTTGTACCTCTCTCTTTCTTTTGTTGTGAAAAGTCGAAGAATCATTAATTCCCACTGTCCCAAAAATTTGCAATTCAATGTTTTGTTTTGTGAGATAGCTGTGGTTTAGCGAGATTCCCTACTGTATGGGGGCTACATATCCCATGTCTCTGCCCTAAATCCATGAAAGTTATTGCATGTTTTATTCTTGAACTTTTAGCATTCCCTGAAAGGAATCATGGTAGAGCCCAATCTATTTGGAATTATTCTTTCAATTTTATTTTTTTTTAATATGATGGAGAATTTCAACCGGCTCACCTTGTCATTCAGTATAAGATCTTATAAATATTTTTGTATAAGCAAAAAAAAAAAAAAAAAAATTGTGCTACCTCAATTTATCTTAGATTGTGTTTGATTTTTCATTTGTGGAGGAAAAAGAAAAAGAAGTAAAAAAACGAAGTAGAAAATATTAGTAAAGTCATTAATTCTTTGCTGCAGTATTCATCCAAATATTTTCATGATGATCATGTATAATTGGACTTATAACTGTTAAGTAACATTTTTTTTAAAAATCAATTTTGTCGGTACACATCAATGATTAAACACTAGTGTGGACTTGTCGTCATACGGCTTGAATTTCCTTTCCAATATTGGCCCTTTATATTTGATTGATGTTGATAACAATTAATTGCTGTCATTATCTTCTTGATATCAATATCTGTGAGTTTCTTGTTCCCCTTACCAATAGGTTCTATTATTTTTAGTCATTTTTGAAAATCTTTGATGTGAAATGCATTTCTATCCCATAAGTTTTTATTTTTTGTATTTCCATGTTCCCATTAACATCCCCGTATAATATTAGGTCTGTTATTAACAGTTGTAGTTGTTTGTAATATCTCTAATTAATATCCATTACTTCACACACCAACCATTTTTTTTCTTTTTTCTTTTTGTCTTTTTAGCAAATAATGCATTATGGAATATTTGATATTGTATTCTCTTAGAACCATAATATCATTACTCTTTAGTCGATAAATTAACAAAGCTCAACAATAAAGCCTGCAATTAATGTTCTTGGTAGTGTAAGTTTGACTGACTAACAGAAACAATCTCTCCAAAAATAGATGGTTACATGCATCTTTTCATTTTTAGATCCCGCTTTAAAAATTTTAGTATTGTGAGTGGTTATGGTTTAGAGAAGTCTGATTATATATCATAACTGCTAGTGTAGATACTTGATTTGGTCTGAGAAGATGATAGTAGGGCATATAAGAGGTCCCCTTTGAGAAGTCCTGTCCATGTTAGAGAATGGAAAAGTGAAAGGGAAATTGTTCTCGTCTCATTCTCTCTCTCGAAATTAGGAGTGGCCCTTGACTTACAGCATGCAAAGCACAAGTTATTAGTCACATGCAAACAGTTTTCCCTTTTTACATCTGAGGGGCAGAACCTATGTGGCCTACTACCAGCAGTATTGTAAGAACTTTATAAAGGGTAGAAGGGTCAAGTTATTCAGTTAGATCTATTATTTTGAAAAGTCTCCAATTTTTTATTTTTTATTTTTTATTTTTTTCCTTTTTCTTTGTCCCCCATCTTTTCAAGATTTCTAATTTTTTCATTTCTCCTTCTTTGTTCGACATCCACCTTAATTTCAACTCTACTCTTATTTTTGAATTTTGAAACCCTAGCTCTAGCCACCTCCGGTTGCCACCACTACCACCTTCGGTTGCCCCTCTCTTTCTTTCCTATTCTTAAAAAAAAAAAAAATGTCAGAACAAATAGCAACACTCTTACGCTATGTTTGGATTGAGTAATTTGGAGAGAAAAGAAAAGAAATAGAGAGATATGTATTTCTCTTACTTGTTTGGATAACTTAAGTGGAAAGAAATGAGAAGAAATTAAGAGAAACTCATTTCTCTTATAAGCCTCATTTTCAATCTTCCTAAAAGTAGAGAGATTGGGAGAGAAAAGAAACTACTATTTTCATAATACTAATTTTGTCCCTATAAAAATAAAAGAAACGAAATGATTGAAAATATAAAAATGTTATTTTGGTAATATAACATAAAATAATTTCTTTTCTTTTCTCTTAATGAAATCTAACCAAATAAGAAGGAGAGAAATTACAATCATTTCTTTTCTTTTTATTTCTTCCTTATCCAAAAAAAAAGAAAGAAATCACAAACATTTCTTTTTTTTTTTCTTTTTTCTTATAACTTAAGTAATCATTTCTTTTCTTTTCTTTCCTAGGTTCCCACACATAGTGTTATTCTATTAAAAATGATATATATATATATACTATGCAGTTCAGTTATGCATGCATGAATTTTGGATCAATAATCTCACATGATGAGTTCATTGATCTAACGGTTGTGATATTGGGCCTTTTTGGTGTAACTTATTTGAAGTTAAAAAAAGCTCATAATCAGAAAGTAAAAACCAAAAACACATCTTCCCTAACTTTTAAATAATTAATTTTTTTCAACTTGTTTAAATTATTTGTACTTAATAAGATGTAAGGCCGAAACTTCACCAAACAGTCTAGTACAAACTAGAAAGAAAGCAAAAAAAGAAAAAAAAAATATAAGCAACTTAGAGAAAATGCACCACACAGCCCCATTACTCGGTGAAGTGTCTAGCATTACTTGTTGGAAAATTTAAAATAATGCATAATGCATAATGCATCTAAGAAGAGGAAACAGTGAATGAAAAAGAAAAGAAGGTAACTATAAATTTCGAGGTAATTTCTTGATCATTTAGAGAGAGAGAGAGAGAGAGCTTTTTAATTCGTGCACTCAAGCAATTGAGAAGGATAGTCTTATTGGCCACCTCTCTTGATCCTTACGCTTGACAAAGAAAAAAAAGCTCTACTTCATTGACTGATGTCACTTCACTCCAATTTCAAAAAGGATATATTATTCGTTTTTTGATCTTTTGACTCCACATTTGCTCTGTCAAGAAAGTTATGTATCTTATATTCCTCTTGATAAATATGGTTGTTAATGCTCTATTAGTACAACTGTATGAGGTTTGTCTTTCATTCTATCAGTATAAGAGATGTTATTGATTTCTTTGATAATATGTGGAGTATTTTCCTTGATCTAAGAAAATGTTTGTCTGAAAACATTGTGGATAATATCTTCTATTGAGTGAAGCATATATTCCCTTTCTCTCGAGTGGTGTATTACTTATATATAACATATTGTTACTTGAAGTCTACAGCATACGACTTTGATGTTCTTGTAGACAAGAAATTTAAAATAAAATAAAAAATAAAAAGATTATGGAGCATCAAATTTTGGAATTGTTATATCATTGTGCTCCCTGCATATATTCCCTTTTATTTTATAAGCATCATTTTTCCCTTTCTTTTTCTATCAAAAGAAGTTATACTATAGTCTTTTTATTAATCTTGGACACACAAGCAGACTCACTCACAAATAAGTCCATAAAAGGGTTAACGATATCCCATTAATCTAATTATTTACAGGTATGTTGTACTCGATATACTCTAAAATGTGAACGGTTCGAATTATCAAGACAGATCCCGAAATAAACTCATAAAACCGCACAACAATACTTCTGTGCTGGATGCATAGCAGACACTCCAAATCCACTCAGACATCTATATAGAAATGCTTGGATTCATTGCACACATTAGTAAGTGCTGCCTAGTGCCAATACTTTTTTAAGTTAGGTCAACCCTAAGCCAAACAGTTAAAGCTTTAGTCTAAAATCCATCCGTATTCTCTTGTACCCAATAAAAATCTACACGATTATATGATTGAGAGTACATTAAGTACAGAGGATTAAAGATTTCTAGTACAAAAAGATCTCATGCCTTGCAAATTTGTTTTAAAATGATGAAATCAAGACTTGTCACGTCATTTTGTATTAATTTTATATATAATTTTTCTAATTATTATCATTACTCATTCTTTATATACCTCATTAATTAGTGTAGTTGAAGGAAAGGAATAAATTTTCCCTTTAAGATCCTGGGAAACATGTACTCCTGGGATTGGTAGACCTAACTTGACACTCCCTCTTAAAAAGAAGAGAGGTCACAAGCAATGTATTCATTTCATGGCTTGACCATTAATAAAAAGCATTGGTTACTTTGATAAATTCCTAACCACCATCACCACCTTAGCCAACAATCTATTATCTCCAAGAAAGCAAGTTAAAGAAAAGAAAAAGAGAAGAACAAGCAAAAAAAAAAAAAAGAAAAGTATTTTATACCCATCACCCATCATCTTCTTGTTTTTTTTTTTTTTTTGATTTACTTTCCATCTAAGCCCCTTTGGCTCCTTTTTCACTCTCAACTTGTCTCTCCAAGAAATACCCTCTCACCTGTCTGTTCTCTTCTACCTTTCACAATTTCTGCTTTCCTTCAAAACCCATGTACCATTATTATCTTTCCTTCAAAACCCATGTTCCCTTATATCTACTTATATACCTCTAATCACAGTTATTATAAGATGCCTCCTCCTCCCTCAAACAGAGCTCACTCAAGTCATACCCAATTCAGGTAACTCCTTTTTCTTTTCTTTTCTTTTTTTTTTTCTTTTTTCCTTTTGTTTTTTTAAAATTTTTCTAAATTATTTTATAAAGTTCAAAGCGGCTAATATTACAGCTGTTTTAAATTTCTGAGCTCCTGAATTTTCATTTATTTTTTTGATAATTAAACTGGCCTGAAAAATGTCTTCTATCTTGTTCAATGAAAAATAGCTTGCTCTGTAGAAAGAAAGAAACAAAAGTGCTATGATGGTACAAGAGGGACTTGAATTCCCCAAGTGATTGATTGACCTAGCCATATGAGTTCATTAAACAACCCAAGACCTTGGGCTCCATATATGAACACCAAGGACTGTTCTCAAGGCTTTTGCAGCCTATACTGCCCACAATGGTGCTACATCGTCTTCCCTCCTCCACCTCCCATCCAATTCCCCGATGACAATCCCGGCCCAAACTTCTCTCCCCTTGTCATCGCCATCATCGGAATTTTAGCAAGTGCTTTCCTTCTTGTCAGCTACTATGCCATAATCTCCAAGTACTGTGGAAACACGGACCCTTCAAGAAGAAGAGAAAACCATGAAGCAAACGAGGAATCTGAAGAGCACGACGATCCCTCGGATCATGAACCTTGGCATGTCGCGACTACAGGTTTAGATGAGGCCTTAATCAAGTCAATTACAGTTTGTAAGTACAAGAAAGGAGACGGGTTGATTGAAAGCACAGATTGCTCTGTTTGTCTCAGTGAGTTTGAAGATGATGAGAGTGTAAGGCTTTTGCCAAAATGTAATCATGCTTTTCATGTCCCTTGCATTGATACATGGCTTAAGTCTCACTCGAATTGCCCGCTTTGTCGAGCTAATATCATTTTTGTTAGTGCTTCACCGCCTATATTGCCTCCTCCAGTGGTGGTAGAACCTCCTCAATACAATGAATCTTTATCGGATATCAATCGTGACAACAACAACAACAATAATTCTAATAATGAGAATGTTGATCTTGTTGGGGAAGATGTTGAGACGGGTGTTGTTAGAGAAGAAGAGATGTTCCAATTCCGAGCTCTGAGCGATTTGGGGAGTTCTGAAGCGCGAGACATTGTAATTGAGATCAGAGGTGAGGATGATGAACAGATGGTTAGAAGATCAGAATCGATGAATTACTTGTGTCAGAACCGGGTTTTGATTGCTGATGTGTTGCGTCTGAACCAGGATGAGGATAGTCAAGACCATGTTGGATCATCAAAATTGGCAGCAGTTGAAATGAGCAAGACAAGCCATAGCAACAGAGTGTTACATTGTGTTACGAGTCCCGTGGCAATGAAGAGATCGTTTTCCGGTGGGAGATTCTCGTTTTCTAGACGTGGCAGAGGCCGGAACATAATGATGCCCCTGTGATAAAAAAAAAATGAAAAATAAATAAATAAATCAGAGGGGTTTGATGAAATTAGTGCTATCAAATAGAGGGAGAGGTTGTTGGCATCCATGATTTTTACATGATTAGTTAGTTTTTGTTGTATGGTTATTATGAGTGTGAGAAATCTCTCTTCTATAATAGTGATGAGAGATTTCTAAACATAATGCAGAGTTTGTTTTTGGTTCTGGTTTGGTTTATTGTCCTAAAAGTTTGTTGGTTTTGTTAAGATGGAGATGTTTTATGCCTACACTACAACATATTTGGATTATTATGAGAATCAAATACATTAATTAGATCTAGTTTACCTCTGAGTCATTTTTATTTGCTAACAATCTTTGTCTCTCCCTCTCTCCAATACAGACCTATATTTACAACCTTGATGGTCACACATTACAAGTGAACTGGCCATAAACCAAGAATTAATCCCAAGAAAATGGTTACTTTTGTCAATACTTTTCTGCTTGTGCCATAAAAAGATGGAAGTGTTATTTGGTCCATAAACCATTATTTGATTATCTTAGTTACCCCTTCATTATGTATTATTTCATAATAAGATATATTTCAATGTTAGTTATGTTATATGTGTTAATTATCAGTAATGTTTGAGATTCATAAAATTTATTCAGAAAAATGTGTATAAAGCTGCTACTTTATTGGTTAATTATTAAGTGTTAAAGGTGAAAACAATTTACCCACCAATGTGATACTCCTCACCAAAGTGATTATTGCTCTTACATAGAGATCTGTTGAATTAGAGACTTGGTCAGCCTTTCAATTATGCTATTTCATGTTCCTCTCCTTTATAAGGTCAATTAGTGTACTAAAAAAGTTGGGTTCTGTTCTATCTTTGCTAGAAAATGAGAATCTTAATAATGAGACTTTAAAAAAAAAAAAATCTAATTATTAATGAAATTCATAAAAGAATTTGCAAATCCCACATTGGTTAAGCATATTAGGAATTGACCATTCATAACCAAGATCGGTGAGACACGAAATAATAAACAAGGAAGAAAAAACGAATTAAGCAAATCACACACAAGAACACAAGGATTTATGTGGTTTATCCCAAAATAAGGCTATGTCCACGGCTGCTGCGGTTTTTACTATGATTAGAAAAATACAACTTTCTCTTAATCTAAAAGAGGCGTCCCATTATCTATTTATAAGTATAGAATTAGGGTTACACAGAAGCAACATGAGAATTACAAAAATACCCAAAAAATTTCAACCGGGGAGGTAAACCCCCCTTGGATCCCCCATTGGATTTATTGTTTGAGTGAATAGTATTTATCAGGTCCATCGACCCAATAAAGCAACCTTGTGATGAATCATTATCGAGCTCAATAACATGAACTTGTGACCAAGCAAGGCATTAAAGTAGTTAATTGTTAGATTTAAGCCTCTTGTATTGGGGAGGGATGCACCATTCTCTCGACTCCCATACTTAAAAAGTTGAGAGACAAACTATAAAATTCTATAACAAATAATAATTTTCAAAGAAACAGAGACATAACTCTCCATAATCTTCTCCAAATTTTCATCCCTGTATAGAGTTAGAGTGGGGTGAGGGAGGGCCCGAGGATCATGAAGAGGGATGGTGTGATTGGATGAGAGAAATTGGCCACTCATCTAGCACACCGGCAATAAGACCTAAACAACATACAATCACTTTTTATTATTTGGGAAATGAGACATAAATCCACCTTGAAAATTAAGGACCAACCTCTCTTCAACATGTTTTTATTATTATAGTTTTGCCAATTTTTGGTCTGTTCTTGCAGTGATGGCTCCAAGTACATTAATAATATAAAATATATAGAAGTATAAATAATATAAAATATATAGAAGTATAATGTATAAAATTCTATATAACTATGTAAAAATGTTTTAAAATATATAAAAAAATTCCTATGATTTTAATTTTTTTGGACAATGTAAAATAGAGTAATGGGCCCTAACCAAGGGCCCACCTCCGGTGGCCAGGTTAGTGCAAAAGAAATAGTGACTAACCCAATCAATTTTGGATGATTTGTCATTATATAGATAAAAAAAAAAGAATTCAATCCAATATTTTTTAACTATTTTTTACGTATGCAGTGATATATAATTTTGAGAAGGACTGTTCTTCAGAATTTTGATCAATAAAATTATTTTGAGAGTATATTTTCATTCATACGCTATACGCACTCTCTTTTTCAATCATTGAATTTAAAAAGTGAATATAAATAATTGGCTATAGTCACATTGAGTCTTAATCAATACCATCTTGGACATGACTGAAAAAATGAATTGCTTTAAGAAAATAATGTTCAAAATCAGTTAATCAAACAAATTTAATATACATTGTATTTTATTTATTTTTTTATAGACAATCAACACATATTCTTGTACCTATGCAAAAATGCTCCAACTACCACTAGCAGAGAAATAGAACCATAATTAAGATGTAGGATGGGTGCCTAATAATTCAAAAAGAATTTGCAAATCCCACATTGGTTAAATTTGACATAATACTTCTCTTAATAATAAGCAATTTTGTCTTGAATGATTGCTGAGCTCGGTAACGTGAGCTTATGACCAAGTGGAGCATTAAATTGGTTGATTGTTGGCTTGTGGCCTCTTGCATTGGGAGGGTGCACCGTTCTCTTCGCTTCCGAACACAAAAACTAGTGCGTAAAAAATCAAAAAAATCCATCTTCCTCTGAAGGAAAAGAGGCCCCCCAACCCACCATGGGTTGGTTAAGCATAAAAAAATATGACATTTCATGAGCACAAAAAATCCAAAAGCCCATCTTCCTGTGAAGGAAAAAAGGACCCCCAGCCCACCATGGGTTGGTTAAGCATCAAAAAAATATGACATTTCATGGGGTTAAGCGAGGGGACCCCAACGATCATCAGAGGTGGCTGCACCACCACTCCTCCATGGTTGACAGAGAGAAATGGCCATTCGCCTAACGCACTTGCAAGAGGACTTAACCCCATATAACCACATTTTTATTTATTATTATTATTTTCTTGGAAAACTTACAAATCAAATATCCAAGCCCTTTTCTTCGTGTCCTTAAAAAAAATTTAAATTAAATTAAATAAAAAATAGCAACAACAAGAAGAAGAAGCATGGGAGTTGTCATCACAAGAAAATTCAAAAACATTAGGGGACTTACCAACCGGTCCCATGCAAACAAATTAATACCCATCAAGTCCTGCCCTATTTCAGTTTTCAATTTTACCCCTCAATGTCACACCACACGCGTGAAGCAAAGAACATATCACGAGGTCTTCCCTGTTCGCGTGAAACACACGCTCCTTCTCAATTGTTATAATTTGAAAACTATTCTGAGGCGATTTGGAAACCATTCTGAAGCGATTTACGATTTAGAAATCGAAACAAACAAAGAGATTTTCCCTGAATCTCCCATCGTTTCCAAAGAAATCACCTCTGTTTCGATCTATATTCTGATTCCGAACAGATCCCCAGCAAATCCTTCGCCGTTTCGATCTATATTCCTTGTTTAGTTCATCTTCAACAAACACGCGAATCAAACGTGAGTCGTATTCATCTTCCGTTCTTCTTTTACAATTATAATTAAGTGATATTCAACTTCATAATAATCACATCTTCATGTTCATTTGCTATACAATATCATATTTGCTTATTTTTCCCAATTCAGTGAGAAAATTTGCTATAGGAATGATAGATTTGCTTAATTTTCTTAATTGAGTGATAAAATTTATTATAATGATAGATTTGCTTCCCTTCTTCTTTCATAACTATAATTGAGTTATAAAATTCGACTTGAAGCTATTTTCAATGTGTATCATACAGTATTAATTTATGATTGATATTTAATTTCATAATAATCACATCTTCATGTTCATTTGCTATACAATGATGGATTTGCTTACTTTTGCTAATTCAGTGATAAAATTTGATATACAATAACAGATTTGCTTACTTTGCCCAATTCAATGAGAAAAATTGCTATAAGAATGATAGGTTTGCTTAATTTTCCTAATTGAGTGATAAAATTTGTTATAATGATGGATTTGCTTCTCTTCTTATTTTATAAATATGGATTTGCTTCCCTTCTTCTTTCATAACTATAATTGAGTGATGAAATTTGACTTGAAGCTATTTTCAATGTGTATCATACAGTATTAATTTATGAGTGATATTCAACTTCATAATAATCACATCTTCACGTTCAACAGGAGACAAAGAGCGTCATCAACAGCCCACAACAAAAAGACACGTCGTAAGTTTATCGATAACAAAACACTGTTATTAAAAAAAAAAGGCGACGAAACCAAATTATAATATTTTGTTTTCAAAATGTTTTTGCAGGCTTGATTGTGGAATCATTGTTTGCTATATCATGAGGCAATATGTTTCCAAAAACAACATAACGCCTACTTTTTCCAAGAAAGAATGCAATCAATTGAGAGCTGATATATTAACTATCTTCTTGGCTAACCAACAAGTTGCTCAACGACAAATACCTAATGAAAACATTGATGACTTGCCTCTGCAATAATCTTCAAATCTGGAATAGAAAAAAATAAAAGGAAACACTGATTCATTTGGTTGTTAGAATGTCAATACTTCATACATTTTGCTTATTTGCTTGTTACAGTGTTACTTGTATTTTGATGATTTTGGTTCTTACTTTCCTCCAATGAATATTACAATGCTTGATTGTTACATTGTCAAAGTTAAGGACAGTGCTTGATTGTTACAATGTCAAAGTTATGGACAATGCTTGGTTGTTATGATCTCAAATTTGCTTCAATGAAACATTCAGTCTTTTTTAGCCATCTCATTACCAGATCTAGCTTTTGATATCAGTCTTGTTATCCAAATTTCATTCAAAATATTGATTCTAATATGAGTATTTGTGTTGAATTTAAAGGTTAATAACAGGTTTGGAGTCACTATACTGATAAATTTATTCTTATAGTGTTTTGTTTATCCTGATAAATTTATCACTGTTTCAACAAACTTATCACTGTGAACACTAATAAATTTGCCACTGTTCTCTCTCTCTCTCTCTCTCTCTCTCTCTCTCTCTCTCTTACACACACACACACATTCTTTTTCCCCAATTCAAGTAAACAAAACACTATAAAAATTTACCTAATTGAAAATTAAAACACAAGCACTATTACATTGTCCAAATTGAAAATTAAAATACTGTTACAATTTGTAGATATTCCCAACTTTGAGAATGAATGTAAGAACATGTCATCCTTAGTGATTTCTGAATAATCAAAACCATTTGATACTTCAGTTAAACAACTCAAACATCCAAAGCTAGCTTCTGAGTGACCACAAATAGTATGCAGATTGAGAACTTGTTGCTAAACCAGATAAACATGCTAGTTGATCTAAAATTTTTTGCTTTTTAAAGCAGTTAACACAGCAGATATGCAATTATGTACTCTAGAGATTTGATCTACACCTTTGTATTGTGGAAATTTTTCTTGGGAAAACTAGATAACTCCAGACAATGATAAATTTATCACTGTAGAAAAGAACATTTTCTTGGATATGACATTGATAAATTTATCAACCACTGACATAAATGTAATAAACCATCAACTCTTCCCACACAATAAGTGATAAATTTATCATTCTTCAAAATAACAAAATTCAAAAACCACATTAATGGTAAATTTATCATTCTTACAAAAAAATAATCCATCAACTTGTCCAAACCAACTAGTGATAAATTTATCACATTATAAAACACCAAAAACAGCAACTACATTTAACCCAAATCAAATAATATAAATCTGTGAAACTTAATCTTGCAAAAATATTAGCAAAAAATATAATTTATGTTCAACAAATTCCTCAATCATTCAATGCGAATACCAAAATGATACATCTTTCCAAAAATACTCAATCATTCAATGCAAGTAACACCTCTCAACTCTCAACAAAGTAATTCAATTAAAATCAATACAACTAAAGCAAAGCTTCTTTACATGTCTTCCGATTATGAGTTCCCATCTTTCCACACCTACTGCACCTAATTATCTTGATTTCGCCCTTAGAAGGTATTCTCTCTGTTCTTGGACATCCAACTGGTCTCTTACAAAGAGAAGGTAAAACAACGTCATCATCAACTACATTTGGCTTCCACATACTACGAACTGGATAGATAGAATGTGAAAAAAATCACAATAACTACTAACATGGTAGTAATCATCAAGAAAGCAATTCAGATCCTTCCCACTCCTCTTTATAGCACAAAAATCGTGGTTTGCAAGGAAAAGAATCAATTTCCCACAATCGACAAGAACAACAACGTTTCTCAATATCAACCATAACTGAATGATTCAATTGGATTTCATAAATGTCATCGCTACATTTCTTAACTATCCATGCTTTTGTATTATTAAAAGTTTCTTCCAACTTTTTCACTGCAAAAGGACAAATAATATGATTCCACTTATTCCCAACTTCTCTCCTTCTTGAAAATTGCTCCATTAGTTTCACCCGTATAGCATCAACAAGACTAGTTGAAAACAAATGGCGTTCATCCCTAATCCATGAATTAAAAGATTCCGTAGCATTTGTGCACATTTCACCATACCTCTTGCCTTGAAAATAAGCGTTACACCAACATTCATCAGGCAAATCCTCAAGAAACTTCTCAGCACTACGACCCTTAAATTCTTCAAATAACTCATTAAACAACTCAATAGTAGGAGCATATGCACATCTACTAAAAAGAGTAAGCAAATACTCTTTAGATTCACGACTCTTCACTGACAAATAAGTCTTCAAGTTTGTCTTCAAATGCATTAGACAAAAAAAATGAGAAGAAAACGGAAAGACCTCGGCTAAAGCTTTCAACAAACCTCCATGTCGATCAGTAACAAACGCAATATCCCTCTCCGGAGTCAAAATACCTAGTAACTTTGACAAGAACTAATGACAACTGTCATAACTTTCACTATCAACAAGAGCAAAACATAACGGATATAAACCTACAAACAAAATATATATACACGTTATCAATAACAAATAAAAAAATTACAAAAAGAAAATCAAAATACAAAATATATAACATATAGCACCAGCTATAGATAAATTTATTACTGTATAAATATAAAAATTTAACAAAAGTATACAACATAAATTTATCACTAATAGATTGACCATACCCAATAATCAGCACTCTCCAGTAACAAAAATGATAGAATTATCAATGTTTCAATAATAATAACAAATAGACACAAAATATACCTTGGTTACCATCTTTTGCCGTAGCAGCCAATAAACAACATTTGTGTCTTCCTTTTAAGAAAGTTCCATCAAGCATCAACACAGGCCTACAATACTTGAAACCATGAATACATGCCTCAAAAGCGAAAAACAAGCATTTGAAATGTCTTCCTTTACTATCAATATCAAATTCCATATCAAAAACACTCACCGGATTGCAAGCATTAGCGGCATCAACATACCAACGAAGATCGTCAAATAATGATGAATAGTCACCAAAAACAAGACCCCTTGCTTTTTCAACACCCATCCAAGCTCGCCGATAAGAAACTTATGTTCCATAATAGTCCTTGAAATCACAAACCACCTCACTAACCGATGTCAAAGCCTTATTATGAATATCACTTGAAATTAGCCCACAAATCATACTTGAAGTCATCCTAGCATGTTTAATTGTACGACAAGAAGATCCACAAGTATGAACATCATCTAATTGTTTAATAACAAAAGCTTTACTATAATTTTTCACTCTAGCATGCACGCTCTATAAACATCCCAAATCAGCCATTCTCTTGCAATGAACAGTAACACAATCCTTATCATTCTTAACAAAATCAAAATTAAAACTGGAATGAATAGAATACTTTGACAACGCATCTCGAAATTCAACAACTCCTTGAGCAAACCTTTGTCCCACTCCTTTCATACAATTAACTCACCAATCGGAGAGTAAAGGTTTCCGTTGATTTGAATAAAATGAAAGCAAAAAATCAGTTTCACAAACAACACTACTACTACTATTACTAGCTTCACCATCACAAATCATATAACCTTCACCCAAAGAACAACACTTTACAAAAATATCAATACGATGAATATCACAAAAAAGTATCAGTCCAACCATAACCTCCAAATCCTCTTCACTTTGTAGACCACATCAAGAATGTCCAGGCATTGAATATGATATATTCAAAGAACTACCAACTAATTCACACCACTTTGCACAAAATTTACATTCTAAATCCTTGAAATTAAATCCATCATTATACTTGATAACCAATGTCACACCTCTAAACTTGCACATAAGAAACAAACAATTCTCCATCACTATAAATCATGCAACAAACAACAATTATATTTCAACAAACAACTCAAACACCCTAAAACAAAATCAAATACAGTGATAAAATTATCAACCAACTCAAACATATCCAAAAATCAACACTGATAACTTTAACAGTTAACACCACCAAAGACCAAGAACAGTGAATAAGGCTTACACTTATTAGACATGGTAACTCAATTTGGAGCTTACCATTACATTATGCAACCTTTTCATCTCTTATTCCCATACTCACTCATAAATTTATCACTATTGAAAAAGTTAATCCAATAACACCTCCAAAATACACAGTGATAAAATTATTACTATATAAAATAACAAACCAACACCTGTGTTCAATCAACACAATTTCGTAACCAAAAAAAATAAAAATCTAAAATTCAATCAACATATACATATCTCAAAACTTTCAATATCATGATCAAAACACAAATTCAATCACAACAGAAACAACAGAGTAACAACAATATCACCACAAAATCAAAATCACCAACTCAAACTAAAAAAAACCAAAACATTAAAATTGAAATCAAAATCAAACATACCAATCAACCTAACTCCACAACATCGCAAATCAGAAAATGTAACTATACACCAAACGCGAAATCACAAATAGGAAGAATCACCAAGCACGCAATCGCAAATCACAAATCGCGAAGATACACCAAGCGCGAAATCAGAAATCACGAAGCTCTACAATAATACAGTAGCAAATCGTGAAGTTCCACAGAAATCCAAATCACAAACACAATATTTTGATGGAAAATCTAGACAGAAACGCGCCAAAACAGGGGAGGGGTAAAACGGTATAAAAAAAAAAGGCTCAAGACCTGTTGGTGCACAAAGCAAAACTCAGGACTAAGAGGGGAATAAGTGTAAAAGGTAGGACCGGCCAATAAAAAACCCAGAACATTATGAAGGAAAAGAGAGGGGCCCAAGCCAGCATGGGCCCACCGGTTACAAGAGAGAGGAATAGGCCAACCCAACCACTTTTTTGGCTTGGGCCGCTGTTTGACTTCTTGGTTTTTTTCAATGGCCCGGTTAGTGCAACAGAAACGGAGAGTAATCCAATCAATATTTGCACGCCACTTGGATGGTTGTCCTCAAATTTAACAAGAATTATAATTCTGTCCACTATTTTTGAACTTTTTTTTATGCCTAGATGTTGATTAATAATTTTTAACGCAGTGTTTGGTTGGGAGATTTGACGAGGACACTACAACAAAATGCATATTCAGCGATCAAAATTGGCGACTAAAAAAAATTTAGTCGCCAAAAGTTATGAAATTGGCGACCAACTAATTTTTTTAGTCACCAAAAGTAAAATATTTAGCTACTAATTTTTTTTAGTTGGGGTATATTAGTTTTTGGTGACTAAAAAAAAATTTAGTTGCTAAAAATGCTAGAATTGGCCACCAAAAAAAATTTTAGTCGCCGTATATTAAGTTTTGCCCACTAAAATCATTTTGTCGCCGAAAGAAAAATAAAAAATTAATTTTTTATCTTTGGCGACTAAGATTTTGGTCGCCAAACGTTTATTTTCAGCGACAAAAAGAATCTTGGTCGCTACATACTAAACTATTTAGTTGCCGAATAAAAAATAAAAAATTATTTTTTTACCTTTGGCGATCAAAAGTTTAATCGCCAAAAGTCTTTTTTCAGCGACAAAAAAAAAATTTAGTCCCAAAAAATAAATTTTATTATTATTTGGCGACCAAAAATATATTTAGTCGCTAACTGTTGTAATATTTGTTTTAGAGGGAAACGAATTATTTTGGGCGCCCGATCTATTTACACTCGGTTCTGTCTCTCACACACACAAACACAGGATATACACTTCTGTGTCAAACACTAGCAAACCTCACCCTCACCATCCCTGCTAACAGTTACCATCGAACTTCCACCACCAACCATCGCGGCTCTCGCCACCGTCGCTCACCATCGCGGCCCCCCTCCCAGCCACATTCAGGTTTCTGTCTCTCTCTCTCTTCCTCTATTTCCCCATTTCACCATCTCGGATCTAGGGTTTTATTTTATTTTTGATGCTGTAGGATTTTGATAAAATCATTTTAGGGTTTTACTCTTTTTCTACATTTGAAGCACATATGAGGTCCAAGTTGTGTTTAATTCCAAACTTTTGTTGCTCCATTTAAGCAATCGTGAAGAACTACTTAAATTGCTGAGTAGAGTTAAATGTGTATATATATATATATATATAGTGTTATTAGGTAGATAGCAATTGATTTAAGGTACTGAACAATTTAAGAATATTATTAGTAGGTAAGTTAATGGAAAATTTTAGGAGTATATTGATATAGATTATATATGCTTACACTTCTAAGTTGTAGGAGTATAGATTGATATAGATTATATATGCTCTTGCTCTGTTTTTTTCCCTTCTTGAATGACACTGGGTTGATATTGATTATGGACAGGTTGGTTTAATTATTTCTGTTGGTCCCCTCTCCCCTCCTCCCCAAACTTAACGTTCTTTTACAGAAAAATGCATCAAAACTTAGCTTGCTGTTCTGACTAAAATACCTCCCATGGCCTTGGTTTTTCAAAATTTTGATAAATTTCTTTACTTTTTGCCTATATTAGTAATTTCCTTGTTTCTTTTTTGTGAGAGTGGGGATCTAAAGTTGTTTTGCCACATAAAAACTACATCTATTGCTCCATATGTCGTCAGTTGGAGGTGACACCTGGCCTGCATAGCTTGCAGGAGAAGCCAGCAGAGGGTGATGTGGTGATGCCACATAGCGGGGGTGAGTCCATGTACCTACAGGTTGTAGTAGTGAGGGATGTATGTAAAATTTGACAGCTTTGCATGTAGGATGCAATCCTCTTATCAGAATTCTTTTCTATTGAATGTCCTTTTAAAATGTGATTGTTCCATGTAAAAGCAAGCTCAATCTTAGATCTGGTTTATATGCTGCCTTGATTGAGCTGTCAATTTCTTTTTATAATTGGTTATATATCACTTATTTAATGAACTTCTCTGAACAATTTTTTAATGGAACTTTGGAAAAAGGTTGCTGAATGTACTGAGCAATGGGGAAAGTGTTGATCTTGTCTTTGAGTGTCTAGACCTGGACCTGAAGAAGTTCATTAATTCTTATCCAGAGATTGCAAAGGATCCACATATGATAAAAGTGGGTGAGATACTTCCGCCATTTGAAATTTTGAAATGCATGGTACTTGATGCCAACAGCTTTGTGTTATATTTTGACTTTTGAAGTTAATTTTAGTAGGGAAAAAATACATTGAGTTGCTTCTATAGACTATAATTTATCTTTCTATAAATTAAATGTTGTTCCTTTTTGTTCTTTTTTCTTTTTGATATTTTTTTACATCTGGACTCTTGTGACCATTATGTCATTGAGCCATGGTATTAGTCTACATTATTTGATATATCTAGGTGTCATCTCGATCTTTTTTTAAAAATATATTTCACAAGATTTTATTTAATTTTGATCTTATCAAACCGAGTCTTGAACTAAAATGATTTTGATAAAATAGAAAAATAAGCCGGGCATATTGTCAAACACTTTGTTCAAGAGATGCATGCAGGTGCTTTTATTTCCACACACCACATTATTTTAGTTCACACACTTGATTTTTGCATTTTTGGTTTGGATGTTGATTTTAACCACATAGTTTTGTTCGTATATCAACTTCCAAACCAAAAATTCAGTCAAATCAAATAGTTTTGTTCGGAAGTTGATTTCCAAACCAAATAATTTTATTCGAAAGTTGATTCCGAACCAAAAAAGATGTGTGCATTAAGAGGAAATAATGTGTGGAAATAGAAGCTCTCAATGCATGCAGATGGGCACACAGAATATTGAGTTTGTAAGGGATAAGAGAATCAATATCCAGGGGTTGGCCATATTCTCCTTATTGTTTGTCTTTCCTTTGTTGGTCCAATAGTTTCTTCTTGCCTGTGTGATAGATTGTGGGTAGTTACTGGAAATAGCAACAAAATTTTATAGGACTAGGTCGATTGACTTCATTAAATATCTATTTGCAGAGATTTATGCATTAGATTCTTCGCGGAGTCGCCTATTGCCATGCTCATGAAATTCTACATCGAGATTTGAAACCTCGGAATCTTCTGATAAATCGCAATAACAAAATGGTGAAGCTTGCTGACTTTGGGTTGGCCAGGACATTTGATGTTCCTCTCAGGACCTATACTGGCAATGTATGTCACTCTTCAATGCTATTTGTACTAAATTTTGTTTTATATCTGACAATTTTGTTGAATAGAAGTTGATAGTAACTACAAATACAAAATGTTGTTTATGTAGCAAAAGAAATAGTTGTGAGCTTTCTTCTAGGATTTTCAAACCTAATAATTTCAATATTGCACCTGATGTTACATTTGGAAGTGCATTTGTCATGCATAACCAAATCAAATGAAACTAAGTCTTGTGTCCCAATCAAGTGCATTTGTAATGCATGATATACAAAAATAACTCTTTTCAAAATTTGCATATGTAAGTGTTCTTTCTGATTGTTGGCTGGATAATTAAAGCAAGTTTACACTTTGATATATTGGGGCATCAGTGAAAGAAAATGTCTTCACGGGATTAGGCTGAGATCTTTGTGAAATTAAGTAGGGAAGTTACTTTTCACTCAAGATCATCTTCAACAAAAATGTTACTCTTTTTTTTTTACTCTTTTTCCAGAATGCCAACAGGAAATTGAGAGGTACGTAAAAAAAAAAAAAATTCGTTTGTCTTCCCATTAAAAAACTGGAGCTTCTCTCTCTCTTTCAATTTAAATTGTCAGTGCAGAAAAGGGTATACTCTCTCTCTCTCTCTCTGAGGGGAAAAATTTGAGGGGAAAAATATTTATTTAAATCATAAAAATCTTTTTTTTTTTATCAGTAAAAAGAAGAGAGACTTTATTGATATAAAACCAATGTACAAAAGGAAATTACATCAATAAAGGCAAAGAAAGGGTAGGTGCAAAGTGTATCATAGCAATACAATTGATCCCAATTAGGTCCACATGCAAGCACACCACTGAGGGTTGGTGAGGGGCCAACCAAAGCAGCCAAACAGACCCCAAAAATATCCCAAAAAAAAAGAAAAAACAGAGCAAAAGAAAGGAACATGAGCAGCAACAAACCAGATTTTCAAGATCAAATTATCATAAAAATTTTAGCAGTTGAGTTTGGTTTCAACTATCCCAATCTCTTTTCCAAGACACCTAAAGTTAGTCAAATTCAGTTACTTTCATACTGTAAATTTGTCTGTCAATATAGATGTATATAATTTTGTTTATTACATGACTGTCTGTAAGCATGTATTGTTATCCTCTTCTTTTTTTCTTATTCTTTCTCCTTTTTGTGGGGGACTTATGAATTGCAATACTTTTCTGTCTTTTCTTGACATTTTTTTAGTGACTATTACTATGATCATGTGCGTCCCGTTAGAAAAACACATTAGTAGGAGATATTGTCATAGTACTTTTGAGAATTTTTATTGTAACTTTGAGTTTTTTTTTTACAATATTGTCATATTGTCATATAGTCTTTGAGTTGCAAACTCTGAGTTTTTTTTTTTTTTTTTTTAAATTTATAAATATTTTCAAAAATCAAACTATTTATCGAAGTAACTAATTTTTCAAACTATTTATCAAATTATCCTATTTTTTTAAAAGCGCATGCTCAAAATGCGATTTCATATTGACTTGACTTACTGATATTTAGATGTGGGTCATGTTAATATGAAATTGTATGTTTAAGATGCGATTTCACCACAAATTGTATTTTAAACCTGTGGTTTTAAAAAATTAGTTTAATAAATAGTTTGAAAAGTTAATTATTTACCTAAGTAGTTTAATTTTTTTGAATATTCACAAAACAAAAAAAAAACTCTGCAAACTCTTGGTCCATTTTTCAAACAAAAAATAAATCATGTGTGTCCCATGTAGTGTAAGTCTCATCCCACATGAATATTGGATTGAATATTTGATAAATTCATTTACAGTCCCAAACATTACTGTTAAGGGGAATTTGGTCAAAATCCTCTCATAATAAGCTTTAATGCATTAAAGATAAGTACAAAAAAAATTTCTTGAAAAGTTCAACATATACTACTATTACCAAAACATTAAACTTTAAAATAATATAACTTTTGATCTATATGTCGATTTTTAATAAAATTAGTATTTTTAAAATTCTCTCATTAAGATCTATCAAATAAGATTCATGTTGATTGTGAGATTCCTGAGTAGATTGCTCAACAGAGGCTGCTTCTGTTGGCTGGAAAGGTGTTGTTGATTAGTCTGGCATGTCAGCTTCACAAGGAAATAGTCTTCGATGGCAATGGTATAAGGATCCAAGATTGGATTGTCTTGGATTCCGGGGGATTTTTCCATCCAATACAATACGTGAGATTTATTAGCATAAGTTGATTTTGTGATCTGAGTGTGTTTAAATTAGCACATAGCATAAGTAGTTACAAGCACATTGTGGATCTTCTTACGAAACCTGTAGTTGATGAAGCATAAGAAAGTTTTTTTTGTCTGTTGCAGCACCTTTGGTTGAGGCTGACAAGGAAACTGATGAAAAAAATTATCTTCTATGGAGATTAGAGAAAGGGGTTGCAGAAGGCTCAACGGAGATCCCAAAAGGTACATCTTCCTCACCCTATTTAGACATTTAAAACACAAAATTCAAAAAGAATCAGAACCAAAGGCCGCTATACACAAAGAGGTTATTATATCATTCTTATGTATTTATTATCAAAATCTGCGTGATCTTGTTTCCTCCTAAGTTGTCATGTACTGTTTGCTCGATATTTATGGGGATGTAGTTATTGAGATGAGAACCGCGTAGAAATTCATTTTATGAAATTGAATTTGTCTTTGTACTCGTACAAAATTAGAAGCATGAGTAGAAAGAGGAAGAATTTTTTTTGATATTTTGTTGACATAGTGTGGAATCTATCCATTTGTGTGCAATAACTTGGTTTTCCATTTTAATTCTTTTATTTTTGTTTATTTGGTGAATGACAAAATTTATTGAAAAAGATTAAAAGAATCAAACAGAGTAAAGAATATAAACCAATGGAGGAGAACCTCTACACCAAGCCAGCCAACACAAACAAACTACCATCTCCTAGATAGAGCAGAAACAGAGCATACTACTATCAACAGAAAAGCATAACAAACAGCCCAAATTGGATTAATAGTTTTCCTATTTTTTTAATATCTTGATGTACATGTGATTTATCAACAGAAAAAAAAAAAATAAATAAATAAATAAAATAATCTTCATGTCCATGTTCTTAGCCAAAAAAATCTTCATAGGTGGAGGTTGCAAGAGTTAAGAGTTTTGGACAGATTTGTTGGTTAGTAGTAACATCAGTTATATTTGTTTTACTTTAAACAGATGCATCAGACTTCAAAGCTTTAATATGGTAGGTTATATGCCCAAGTTATCATAGAGGAAAGGAAAAGATATAAGGGCTATTATTACATTGTGGTCACAATTGAACATGGTCACCAAGTGTTTGAATCTATTTGAATCTGCTTTCACAATTGAACATGGTCACCAAATTTATCAGAAAAAATTTCACAATCTACTCTCTTTACCTTATTAACTCACAAAACCCTCCCCCATGAATATCAGGGCTATTATTACATTGTGCAATTTTATCAAGTGCAAGTTTAAACTCATGACCCTTTGGACAAACCAAGGTCGTGTTGACATGTGTCAAGAAAACAAAAAAGTTAGGATCATAGCGATCATTGGTTACAATCACTTGATTAACTGGACAAAAGTAATAATGCTATTAGTAATTACTTTTAAAATTCATCTATCATAGCGATCATTGGTTACAATCACTTGAATTTGGGAGGTTAATAAACTCTTTTTGTAGCCCCACATGCAAAGATCATTTTTTTTTAATCTCATCGGTACTTTACATTAAATTGATCACAATATAAAAAATTACTGAATAGTTGTCTTTGTGGGCCATTAGCTTAATTTGTATATATTATTTGTAATCATTATTTTCAAATATTGAGTGTAATGGTAATTTGTAGATTTCAAATGGGAGATTGGTCAGGACTTGGTGCGCACATCAAAAATCAGTGACTTGCTTGACATTTTCTAGCGATGATTCATTTCTTATTTCTGGTTCAGAAGATGGCATGATCATTATTTGGCCTATGATCGGGTAAAAAAAGTGAATCTTCGTTTCTTCAACAATTTAATGTTTGTATTTGAATGTCGTTTAGTTTTATTTTTCAGGAAAAATAAATAACTGACTTTGTAATCACATTGTTTGGTGGAAGTTTGGTCGACGAGACAAATTGTTGGACTGTGGCTTTAAAACTAAATTTTTCGTTGGAGCTTTCATCCTCTATAACGGGCCTATTAACTGCATCAAGTGGCTCAAGTTCAATTTTTTTATCAAACTCCCTCGATGGCACATGCAAGGTTACTTAATTATGTTAAATGTTTCATAATAATATCTTCCTAGCATGAGTATTTTTGTTTCTTGAAATGATTTATTTTCATATTATAGGTATGGGGACCTTGTTACTGGAAGACTTTTTACAAACTCGAGCTTTTCTACTACCAATTACTGCAATAGTTGTTGATCCAACAGAGATGAAATTATTTTCTGGTGGTATAGATTACTAGTAGATATTTCTTTTTTGTATACGGAGATCATTTTTGTATGATTATCTGTTTGTATAGAATTATTATTTTGGGTTGGATTATATTTGATTTGTATAGAATTTGATGTCACAAGACCAAATTTTTGGATGGTTGAAAGTGAAATAGAAATAGACATATGTATTGTTTTGTTTATATACAAGGTACAGGTTGTACGAAATAAATACAAGTTGTGCAGAAATTAATAATAATAAAAAAAAAACACTATGAATAAAGTTTTTGGTGACTAAATGTTTAGTAGCCAAAAAAACAAAATAAAACATCATTTTTGTATGATTATCTGTTTGTATAGAATTATTATTTTGGGTTGGATTATATTTGATTTGTATAGAATTTGATGTCACAAGACCAAATTTTTGGATGGTTGAAAGTAAAATAGAAATAGACATATGTATTGTTTTGTTTATATACAAGGTACAAGTTGCACGAAATAAATACAAGTTGTGCAGAAATTAATAATAATAAAAAAAAACACTAAATAAAGTTTTTGGTGACTAAATGTTTAGTAGCCAAAAAAACAAAATAAAACTTGTTGGTTACTAAAAATTTAGTAGTCAAAAACAAACCAAAGATTTTTTGGCAATTAAAAATTTAGTAGTAAAAAATATATGAGATTTTAGGCGACTAAATAGTTTAGTAGCTAAAAAAAAATATGAAAATTAATTTTTTTTGGCTACTAAATATTTAATAGCTAATAATAAATGATGTTTTGGGCAACTAAAAGTTTTAGTCGCTGAAAATGAAAATTAATTTTATTTGAAAACTTTTGGCGACTAAATATTTAGTCGCCAATACCTCGTACTTTTCCCTATTAAAACATCTGTAGCCATTTATAGGACTTTTGGTGACTAAATTTTTTTTAGTCGCCAAAACCTTCCCCGACCGTTTTCTCACAACAAATCTAGCGACCAAAATATTTAGTCAGGAAAAGGCTTCAGCGACTAAAACTTTAGTCGCATAAAGTACAATTTTCTTGTAGTGGGAATTTGGAAAGTGAAAATGTGTGTGAAATTAGGTAAAATATAGGTATGTTTTATTCACATTTTACTTACTTTTTGCATTTTCTTTTCTAAATTCCTTTTCAAATCTCTCAACCAAACACAGCATAAAGAACGGCCTTAAGACTTTTGAATGGTAAAAGTGTGGTTAATTACATTTATACCGCTGCACTTTCATCAAAATTTCTTTACTTTCAATTGTGACAATCAAGTTCTCACAATTTAAATGAAGTTGCAATGTCAATCCATTACAAAAATTTATATGTTATTTTTTTATGGCATGTAGCCCCGTTATATTTCCACCAAAGTTTCATTAGCACTCATGCATATTTAATGAAATTCCATTTTGATAAATTTACATTAAAATGGGCTAATTATACTTAGCATCCTTCTATTTTCACTAAAATTTCACTTTAGCCATTTCACTTTTAATTGTGATAGTCATTTCCTTACACTTTAAATCAATTACAATATCATTGTTCCGTTCATCTAACATTTACTAAGGATGATTGGACTTGTAATATGAGTCATATATAAAGTTTTATCACGTCATTAGCATGTCCTACATTTTACTAAAATCCCACTTTAATATTGTATTTTTACCAAAATCTCACTTTGATCATTCCATTTTCAATTTCTTCTACCTAATTACCAATAATGGAAATAATGATAACTGTGCAACTTAACTTAAAATGTAATAAATTAATTATTACAATTGAAAGTGAAGGGTGTCAAAAATGAAATTTTGATAAAGGTATAAAGTTACAAAGTTTAATTAATCCATTAAATTATTTTGATAATATGTTATTTTCTTCTCCTTGTGGATTCATGGAAATCCTCCTAGGGTTTTATCTAAAGTTTGAAGAATATGGCTCTTGTTTTGCCAACCAGTGTATATCAGCGAGAAAGAAATCAATTCATGTTCACTAACATTTATTTCATTTAAATTTCTGGCCAAGCCAAAACCTACTACTTGGGTTGATGATGGTGCTTCAATTATTTGGCAAAACATATATATATATATATATATATGTATATGAGAATTCTATTATACACACGGTATACCATATGCATCTTTAGTTACGCTATTTTCTTTTTTTAGTTATGATTAATTTTCTTTTTTAATTATGACATTATTTTGAAATATTTAGTTATGACTTTTTTTGTGTTTGTTTATGATTTTTTTTTTTTAATTATGATTCAAAAAATATAGAGTTATGTCATTTTTTTATATAGTTATACATATACCTTTTGAGGGGTGAGTACTATAGTGGTGCAAATGATATATCTCTTTCAAAAGTGTGTATGCTAGAATTTCCCATATGTATATATATATTGACATGCTTGATGTACAGATAGCTAAAATGAGACAATATTTGCAGAATATAATTTCATGATTGTGACTTTTTTAAATTGATCTTCTTCATTTTCTCGAAAGCTCCAAAAAAGCATTTTAATGTTTTACCCAAACTAGGACCAACTCATTTTGAGTTTGTGGGTGCAAAGCTTGTCATTTTGGATTCTTTATGAGACCCCGATGTTAGGCTAACTCATAATAATGGATAATATTTTCAAATATGAAGTGAGGGTTGTACGTGAGCTAAGGTTGAGATGTTGACATCCCACATTACATTGGGAGTGTTTAGTGTGAATTATAGGGGGTGATTATAGCTTATTTTAATTTAGAAATCTGTATTATACTGTTTGGTGTAACTGCTTACAGCTTTTTAGACAGAAATAACTTAAATAAGTTAAGAAAAGCTAATTATTTAAAAGTTAAGAAATATATGTTTTTAGTTTCTGCTTTTTGATCATCAGCTTTTGGCTTACAATAAACTGCATCAAATAACACCATCGTTGTTTGGTTGGACTTATATTGTTGTTTGTGTGTTTTTTTCAAAAAAATTGTTTAGTACAATTTTTATTTACAATTTATGATATAGAAATAATTTAAATAAACTAAAAAATAACTTATTATTGGGCACAAAGGAGAGATGTTTTTTTCATCTATTTTCAGCCCCGCTACGTAGCCCGAATGTACTGGGGCTCAACTGCCTCGAAATTCATTTGATTTTATTTTTTTTTTCCCTCTCTTCTTCCTCCTCGCTCTTCTTCCTTCCCCTTCTCTGCCCTGCTCTGCTCTACTCTTCAAAAAATGAGAATGAAAATCTAAATCTAAATCAAAAAAAAAAAAGGTGTTTGGCACCAACAAATGAAGTTTTCAGTTACCAACTGAAATCAAAATCAAAGAGACAAACCCACAACAAACTCAAAAAAAATCAGTTACCAACAGAAATGATAGTTTGTAAATTCAAACCCACAGCAAACTCAACAACTCAAAATCTCACATGAAAATCAAAACTAAACAGACAAACTCAAAAAAAAAAATAAAAAATCAAACCCACAACAACAGACAAACCCCCATGAAAATGAAAATCTAAATCTAAATCTAAATCAAAAACTCAAAAAAATCTCACAAATCACAAAATCTACACAAATCAAAATCAAAATAACTAAAAAAATTTTAAAAAAAAAAACGACGAGAAGAGAGAAGAACAGAGGAAAGAGGAAAGAGGAGAGGAGGAAAAAGCCGCCGTCGCCATCACCGTTGCTCTTCGTCGCCATCACGCCGTTGCACTCCTACCTCTTCTCTCTCTCTTCTCCCTTCTCCTTTCTCCATTTTCTCTTTTCTCTTCTTCCTGTGTAAAGAGTGAAAAAAAAAAAAAATCAAAACGATGTCGTTTTGATTTTTGGGCCAGTCGAGCCTTTAACTTCTCAAGCTCTTAGGCTTTATTGATTTTCTAATACGACAATGCTACGTAGCTCAAATTTTGTGGCTCAAAAGTGGCTCAAATGGCCAAAACGACGTCGTTTTGAGTACAAAACAACATAAAAATGGCCAAAACGACGTCGTTTTGGCCATTCGAGCCACTTTTGAGCCACAAAATTTGAGCTACGAGTCATTTTCCTTTCTAATAATAGCTTTCAACTTTTAAAAGTTGCACCGAATATGTTCATAAATGATATTTAAAATGAATTTAGAAGACATCACATGCTACTTTTGTAATTAGGTCTTAATTTATAAATTATCTATGAAAAAAAATCATATTTGATAGTGTAGCTCTTATTTTATATTTTTTCTTTTAAAAAAAATGAATGGTGAGAATTATTTTGAAAATAAACTATATATTTTCTTAAAAATAAATGTAACAAAATAATATAATTATAATTACTAAATTTATCTGATTTTTTTTCATAAATATTCTACATACTTACAAAACAAATGGAGACCCTACAGGTTCAATTAGACAGTCTAGTCTATATTTGTGAACGGAGAGATCAACTATGAACTATTTTGAAATTACCTATTTTTGAACTTAAAAATAACTCTTCAACTGAATCGATAATATTTTGAACTGGACAAACTTTCATCTTATCCAAATGATTTTAGGGTGATTGACCAATAAATCTCATCTTTTGAATTTGTAATTTATATAGTCTTATATTTTTTTTGTGATTCATTTAATCTTTTTTAATGTGTAATAACTCATTTGTCCACCACAATAGAGTTACATTTGGAAAAAAAGATACTAAAGAATTTTTTAGTGTCATATTATACCTGCTACGTTGGAGTATTATATCATAACTGTCACGTTGGAGTGTCACATATTACATTTAAGAAAAATATATTAAAGATTTTTTAATTTTTTTGAAATATCACACCATATCCGCCACGTCGTCACATTTATAAAAAGTATATTAAGAAATTTTTAGTTATCACATCATATCCGCCACATTATCATATTTAGAAAAAGTACACTAAGGAGTTTTTAATTGTCGCATCATACCCGCCATGTCATTACATTTGGAAAAGTACACTAAGAAGTTTTTAGTTATCACACCATACCCGCTACATCGTTACATTTAAGAAAAGTATACTAAGAAGGTTTTAATTTTTTTGGAGTGTCACATGATATACCTATCGTATTGAAATGTCACATGTTATATTTGAGAAAAGTACACTGAATAATTTTTAATTTTTTTAGAATGTCACATCATACCCACGTTATCATATTTAACAAAATATCACTAAAGAATTTTTAATTTTTTTGGAATGTAATATCATACTCCCACGTTT